GACCTGGGCGGCCTGGCGGACGGCCCCGGGGGGGACGCGGCCTCCCCGGGCAGGCCCGTGCCCTGGCGGGGCGGGGGCCGTCTGCACGGAGCAGCTTCCCGGAGCGGCAGCTTGTGTTAAGCGGCGTTGCCCCGGCAGACCGGCGGCTGGCAGCGGGAGCCAAATGCCGTCGTTAAACTTCACTGGCCGGGCCAGCCCAGCAGCTGGTGCTTCGGCCGGGTGCTCTCCCGTTTCTGACACCAATAATCCGTAATATGGGCCCGGTATTAACATCTGAAACCCAACACAGTCGTTCATTTGAGGTTTAAGCCTACTGTATTAATGCGTTAGCTAAATACGACTTTTTGTTTAAAAAAAGTCTCACAGAGTTGCTCTTTAAAAAAAATATGCACTAAACTGGAAGAATAAAGCTGAAGGAAAGCGGGTCCAGTATTTTAGATAGGCCTCACCTGGACTTTAAGTCAACTGCAGTTAAACTACTGCACCATCTTTGGGTTTTGGTTCTTTTTTCTACTTTCCTAGACAAATTATGGTAAAAACTACTTTGGGAATGCTGTTCCCTTACATATAGGAAAGCTTTTGGATAGTTTAGTGTCCAAATCTATAGTTGGACTCTAGGTTTTGCTTAAAATTGTGTTTGCAAAAGTTGATGAATATTTATGGGTGTACATATTCTGTTTGTTTTGAATCGAAATGCTATTTGCTCAGGTATGTAACTCAGATATTGCAATCTGAAGCTTTAAGGTCATTAGTTTAAAAACAAACACCACCCCACCTCCCCCGACTCTGAAGAGTCTTTGTCTAAACAGTCAAAGTCTTAATAGAAACGAGTAACAAATAGCTATGTTTTAAAGAATAAATCAGATACTGAAATTTCTCATTAAAATTGTCTAAATTGCTGTGTTACATTTATTTAGCAGTATCTGTGTGATGGGATACATTAATCATGAAAATGCTGCCTTGTCTTCTTTTCCGCAAAAAGCTGACCATGTGTTTTGATTAGAAAAAGACTAATGATTAATAGTGTGGTTTAGCAGTACACGTTTTTGCTAATTGGCTAGACGATCAGGAAGAGGAGGTTGCATTCACGGTCTGAGCTGTCCTTTTGCAAATACTTTGTGCTCAAGGAGACTTTGTGTCTTTCCGCTAGGAACAGGCATGTTCCCCTGCCCCGGCACTTGGTGCGGCATGTGGGGTGGCAGCAGAGGAGATTCTCTTTCGTGTTTCTGACGATGTGATGGCAGCAAAACTCCACTTGGCACGAGCTGAACCAGTCAGAGTAGTTTTCGTCAGAGTGGCTGCTTGCCTGCAAGGGAGTTTGCTAGTGAAATGATCCCACCAGAAAATAATTTTGCGACAGGAGCAAAATTTTAAGCCAGGCGTTAGGCGGGCGCGTATGAGCCAGCCTGCTGACTTCCGTGAGGCTGGTGTCCAAGTGAATACGTACCGTGTTAGCCCCTTGACTTGGAGGGGTTCCAGAAAAGCTCAGGAATCAAGATAACAGGACGGGGCGGCAGATGTGCTTCAGCATAGCAGTAGTCACACGTCAGTGCTGTGGGTTGGAAGGAGATGTGAAATCGTTCCTCTATACTCGAAGATCTTAAAGGTCTTTTCCAACCTAAATGATTCTATGATTCTATTCATGGTTTGAACGAGAGATAACTGTGGAGGGGAGGGCATGCGTAGGAGTTGAAATAAATGGCTCAAGCTGTCTATAAAGCAAATGTTGATTGTAGTACAAGAAACAGTGAGACTGCGGACAGTGCTATGATACCTGGTATATTGTAACCTGGAATACGATAACTAACTTTGGGCTCTGTTATCTATATGAAGTAGAAAACAAATGAAAGGTTGAGGGCAACAGTAAGTATATTGCCAAGTGAGGGGAGAAATATTATGCGATCTTAAGCATCCAGGCAACTCAAAATGAAGTTTATATGTATAAAACAGTAATAATAATGAGTACTATGAAAATGCACAGTTAAAATCCAAAGAACTTTAACTTGCAACGGCATCGTGTAATAACCATTTGCTTTAAGTATATGGTATGTATTCTGTTTCAATTTAACAGATTTTTCATGCACAGTTCTTTCCAAAGTAATATCTGCAATGTTGTTAGGTATTTAACATAATTTGAAAATATATGTTATCAAACTTAAGTAATTTAAACAATAGGATTTCTTAGGCCTAATTTGTCTTTACACCAATTCCTTAAGCTGGTTTTACACTGGGTGTCAGTCTTCAAATTAGCCAAAGCTTATGGGCAAATCAGTCAATTCACTTTTTCTTTTGTTGTTCACTGATTTATAAAATGAGAATTTAAAAATCAAGAGAGAATAAAGTCTAAGTTTTGAGTTTCAGTCAAGGTGCCCTTTCATACTTCCCCCAGCATTATAAATTAAAGCAATAAGCGATAACCTAGCTCTGAGTGTTCTTGACACATTGGCTGCTCTCTCATACGATTAACTCTTCAGAAGTCTCTGCAAGATGGGCGATTAGGTAATTACTTCCAAAATGATAGATGCTACATATGAGTCGTCTTACTTCTTGGGGATTCTGCCCATAACCTGTATAATCATACGCTTCGATAAACTTCCATTGATAACTTTAAAAACAAAAGTTATACATAAATATAAATAGTACATAGGATTTCAGTAAGTTTTAACTAAGGGAATTTGGATGACTGGTTGTTCTGGGGCTCTTTGTAATTTGTAATACTTCTTAAGAAAATTAGAGATGAAAAAATATTGATGCTGATTTTCTTGTTTCTGTATTTCCTTGTGATCCACCTGTTGTTTTCTGCCTTATTCTCTCTGGAGGTATAGGCTCTGTTTTATTCATTTAGTGACTCCTGGTTTAGAATTTCTAGGCACAAAAGGATCAAAAATCAGAAGTACGTGTGGTTCTCTTTACATGTAGTTTCACAGAAAGCTTGTTCTCTGAGTAATTCTTATCAATTTGTCACTTACAACACATTTTGTGTACAGAACAGGGTTGTGACTTCAAAGTGCAAACTGTTTTTGCCTTTAACTAGAGAGCTTTGGACTATGCCTCTGACAACTCTGGGATAAGTAGAAAGTATATAAATACAGTGAAATAGAGATTTTCAAGGAAATAACATTTCCTCGATAACTTTTTTGTTTTTAATTATAGGAATTAATAGTATTGTTTATGTGTAAACGCAGTAAGATGAAACACCAATAGGATTACAGTGATCCTCGTGTTTCAAGACTGAGTTCAGACCAGGAAGAAGCTTGTCCCGTAAAATAGTAATGATGTCCAGTGAGATCTGCCTAGCCACGTTTTCTTACAAAATTCCCCCTAAAAATATTGCTATCTGTTCCTATACTATATTAAAAAGAAAAGCATGTCAGTTAAATGGATCTGAGTAGGGGGAGCTTATGTTCTAAATATAATATTTATCCTGAAAATTTTTTTTTTGTGGGGAAAAAAGTGGCTTGGAGGGGTGAAAATTAAGGCTTTGATTGTGCATTAAGAAAAGTCTCTGAAAATGTTACCAGATCAGTTGATACATCCATGTGTCCACTCCTCTTCTGTGAAACGGAGATAATGTTAATACCCATTTTCATGATCTGCTGTGGGTTAAGCTCGTTAACTGATTGTGGAGTTCTTTTTGTAAGTCCTGTAGCTATTTGACTACTAAAAAGAAGTCTTGCAAAGCATACTGAAAAGGTTTAGTATAAAGTGAGAACTTACCAAATGTAACAGTGAAGTAAAACAATGTTTTAAAACAATCTTAAAATATTTTAGAAGGTAATGGGTATCATAGGAATATTTTGAATATCCATAGATAACCAGTATAGATACCTAATGGGTGGTTTTTGTGGAAAAACTGCACAGGCCAGGTTTGGTTCACCTTTTCCTCTCATTCAAATTGTGAAATAAAATTTATGCAAAACCCATTTTATATTGGTTTTAATAATGACCCCAATTTGAATGACCTTTAACTTACTTGATCTTTATTATGTGTTTTTTAATTTAGATGTTAAACTCCTTCATGAGAAAGGATGTGTCACGTTTATGCTGTGTATGATTAAAAGGAATTATTTGCCTCTAACACATCTTTTAATTCTTCTTCCAGGACTTCAGTGATTCTGGACTGCTGTTACTGAAATGAAATTACAGAAGGTGGCATTTGCATTGCGTTTGTTGGATGAAACCCAAATATTTACTTTCAGTCAAGTGGGTAAAATCCCCTAACTGCGGTTTACATGTGTAGGTCACTGCGTTACTGTGTTAGTCATTGTCTCTATGCAGCAATGACAAGGCTAGAAGAAGCAAACAGAGAAGTGAACATGCACTCATCAGTCAGATACCTTGGCTATCTTGCCAGAATCAACTTACTGGTTGCCATTTGCATGGGCCTTTACGTCAGATGGGAAAAAACAGCAGATGCACTGATTTTGGTAATATTTATTCTGGGGCTTTTTGTTCTTGGAATTGCCAGCATACTGTACTACTATTTTTCAATGGAAACAGCAAGTTTGAGTCTCTCCAATCTTTGGTTTGGTTTTTTGCTTGGCCTTCTCTGTTTTCTTAATAATTCTGCCTTCAAAACGGATGTGAAAGAAGAAGCTACTAAATATTTGCTCCTTTCTGCCATTGTTTTAAGGATACTATGTGCTTTGGTTGAGAGGATTTGTGGTTGTATTCATCATCGACCGACTCTGCTGACAACAGTTGAATTTTTGGAGCTAGTCGGATTTGCAATTGCCAGCACAACTATGCTGGTAGAAAAATCTATGAGTATTATTCTGTTGGTCATGGCTTTGGCTATGTTGATTATTGACTTACGTATGAAGTCTTTTTTGGCAATTCCAAATTTGGCAATTTTTGGAGCCATTGCATCCTTACTCTTTTTTCCATCACTGCAAATCCCCACAAACCCATTTGCCTTGGCATGTTTCTTCAGCTGCCTGATTTCAGATCCCCTTCTCGATGTTTACTTCAGTGGACTTTCAGTTACTGAACGATGGAAGCCCTACTTGTACCGTGGTAAAATTTGCAGAAGGCTTTCTGTCATCTCAGTTGGAGTCATTGAACTAATCTTTTTCATTCTTGCAGCCTTTAAACTACGTGATTTGGATCTCTGGTATTTTGTGATACCTGGTTTTTCTATTTTTGGAATTTTCTGGATGATTTGTCATGTGATTTTTTTTATAACTCTTTGGGGATTTCACACAAAACTAAATGACTGTCACAAGGTGTACTATACCCACCGTGCAGAAAACAACAGCCTTGACAGAGTTATGGCATCTAAAGGAATGCGTCACTTCTGTTTAATTTCGGAACAGCTAGTATTTTTCAGTCTCGTCGCAACTGCTGTTTTGGGAGCCGTTTCTTGGCAGGTAAATAATAACCTCTGTATCTTGATCTCCCTCCTGAGAATGCTCCTGAGAATTGTTGACTCCTTAAAATTTCTGTGACATTTGATGGTGTGCTGTGGCTCAGCAATTCAATGTTGGAACACTTGGTTTCACCAACATGCTCTTCAAATTTAACACTTTGTGCTGCTTTAAGGCAGCTGGAACTCACCAGCTTCCTTAGGTGGGCAGAATGGGAAGAGTTAGTGCTTCCAGGGCAAAAGTGTGCAAAGTATTTTAAGTTTACCTACTTGTGAAATTATTTTGCTTTTGAATTCATTGTGCCATAAAATTTGTTTTCAAAGTAAATCATAGTGTTGAACCCTAGTAATACACACTATATGGAGGGCTTTTCTTATGGACTGTTTTAATTGAATCAAGGCAAATTCCTGTTTTAAGAATGTATTTTTCAATAATTTTGCTTTGCATTTAACCATTAATGTGGAGTTAGAGATCAGCTGATAAACTGGTAATTTGTTGTTATAGCATGTGCTTTAAGTGTCTTATTTTCAAATCTGATTATGCACCACAGGACACATCCTCTGAAAGACCAGTTCTTAAAATCACACAGCGTTCTCTGACTTTTCTTTCCATTTCTGAATTAAGGACGTTGTCTTTTCTTTAGCAGAAAGCATACATTTCTCTCAAAATGTTTGTTCAGTGCCCAAGTTAAAGTACATTGTGTGTTGTCACAGTTGCAGCAGGGTGGAAAGAGAGTTTGGTGTCTATTTTCTTTTTTAAGTTGATCTAAAAAAAGACATCAATCATTTTGGTACCCGTGCATCTCTTAAATGAATTACATATATTATATATACAATACATATCTAAAAATTATATATTATTTATGGGAGATCCAGTTTACAGAAATGTCTCTAGTATTTCCAAAACAATTTGCTGCCCATTCCTGCAGATTTTCTTAGATTAAATAACCTTGTGGATGAAAGGTGTTAAAGAACTTGGTGGAAAAGGAAACTGACAGTTATTTTGTAAGGTTTTGTGGGGGTTTTTTTTGTTTGACTTGGTTTTGGTTTTGTATTTTTTTGGTTTGGTGGGGGGTTTTTTTGGTGTGTGGGTTTTTTTTTTTTTTTGCATGAAGAGCATTAGAGGTTAACACACAAGCGTGGGTAGTTTTGCTCTTTCTTTGGAAAAGTATCAGCATGCATAGCTATAGTGTGTGGGCTTGCAGAAAGGACAAAAGGAAGAAATAGAAACAAAAAGAGGTAGAGAAGAAAAATCCCCAAAATGTATTTACAGAAAGTGAAGGTGCTAATGCACTGAAAGAAATGGGAAAGTGGTTTGGGAGACAGAAACAATAAAGATGGAATATCAGCATGCTAGTATTTCTAACTTCCATACTTTTTCTTCTGAGACTTGTGTGATTTTATCAAAATGCAGGTCTTTAATTTTTATATGCTAGATGACTTTTTCAGTAAAAGCAATTTTTTACCATCTCTATCAGATAGTCTTACAAATTTCTCTATCCTTGCCCTCCTCCTTTAACATCCTGAGACACGTTAGTTAATAATTACATAGTTTTAAAATTACTTGGATGGAGTCACTCCACCTAGTTACACCTAACAAAGCAGTCAGAACAAATCAAGTGCGTAAGTTGTCCAGATAGTCACTGGAGAGAGGCAGTTTCTTTTGATGGCGCCCAGAGCCTGTCTGCAGGGAGTTAACCACCAGACTTGGACAGGATCTCCCGCTGTAGCCCTTCAGGCGAAGGGCTCCCTCTCCCCATGTCATCTGTTCAAAGCACATAGGCGCTTCCTTTAGAACTGCTTCATTATTGCAAGCTGTCCGCGTAAGCAAGGAGGATTGGATCCATACTCATCTTGTTACTTTTTTCTCTTTACATTGATAATTCATTGTAATTTTTTTCTGTCTCTGTCCTCTGCCCCAAAATAACTGCAACTGTTACATGTCTGATAATTTTCAGGCCTCTCTAATTCTGAAAAAGTGCAGTTGTACTGTGGAATGACTTGTGCAGGACCGTTCACAAGAAGCAAACTGGCAATGTGTCTAAAATCTTAATACTTGTTATTGGCTAATTTCAGTTTGTAGCATCCTATGTGTACGCTACATAAGATAAGCTGTTGCTCGTCACCTCTGTCTGATAGGTTGTGTATTTGCCTATTCAGTGGGAAAAGAAGTAATTGTAGTGGCAAAAGTGAAAGGCATCAGACCAAATACTTCTGCTTGTCAGGAAATCCAGTTTTTTCTTATAATAGTTTATTTTTAGTAGATAATTACATTTACATTTCTTTTATTATATTTATATTTCTTTCATCATGTATTTATAGTAATGAATTAACTTAAGATTATGAATGCAGTTGTCTCCAACTAAAATAATTTCTACTTCAGAAGATGTTGCGACGTTTGTCTTGCAGATCGCTGTGCCTATTCCATCTGTTGTTGGAAAATGAAATACTTTATCAGACCTGGCCAGAACATAATTTAATAAATGGATGTATCATTTATTATAGTGATTGCAGGAAACTGTGGCCTTTTCTGTATTTTTCTGGGTAGTGTCAGGTTTCAAAATAATTAGAAGTAAGAAACCAATGATGCATAAGCATACAATTTACCTTCTTGCAGGGAACTTGTTTTTTTCTAGAGGCTTAAGGAAACTAGTATTGTTTCTTCTTTGTATCCATGAACTATGGGGAATTCAAGGCCTCAAGACTCTACTTTAGAATCCTTTGCTGGATTTTTGAGTCTGCTCTTTCAGGAGGTCTGACAAGCTCAACAGTAATGCAGAAAGCAAGCTTCTCCAGTGAATATGTACTTTCCTTATGGTGATTTATATGTATTGTAACAGTTAAAGAGACAACTCAGACTGTTAAAGAACACTCTTTGCCTTTCCTCTTTAAAAAGTAGTAGTTATTGCTAAATACTTAGTGGGTTGGGATTTCAGGGTTTTGCTTGGTTTTGTTTGGTTTTTAAGAAAACTTTGCTGCAGAAAAAAGCTAGTGATATCAGTATGTGGTAGAAAGAGATCTTAGGGCTGTGTTAGATGCCTTTCCATGAAAACATCAGCTTATTGTTTATTAGTGGTCAAAAAACCAAATGAAACATTGGGAATTATTAGGAAAGGACTGGAGGTATCATTATGCCACTGTATAAATCCGTAGCTTCTATATTTTGAATAACAGTGCAATTCTTGCTTGCCATCCTATAGGTAAGAAAACAAGCAAAGGTTCAGAGAAGGGCAACAAAATTCGTTATAGACATGAAACAGTTTACATGGAGGGAATGAATAAACAAGGATGCTTCAGTCAGGAAAAGAGAAAACTAAGTGAGAATATGATGAACCATCTAAAATATTATGTGTGATGTGGGAGAAGGAAAACAGTAAGAAACAATAAACGATCAGTTCCAGTGCAAAAGTTGAGGGGGAATCAAGCTGCAAAAAGCAGGTTGGAGCCAGATAGATGGGAGTAGTTCCGCATACAGCGCTGAGTTAGCTCTGGGGCTGGGTATCGTGGCATGCTGTGTGTGCCGAGCAGTTGCAGAGGCTCAGGAGGAAGCTAGACAAGTTCATGGAAACAAATTCACTGAGGTTTATGTACTACATGGAAACCATGTCTGGCTCAGGAAGTCCTTAAGCCACCAGTGGTTGGAGTACTCAGGAAACATATGTGCTTGGTCTGTCCTTACAGTCTTTCCTATGCATCCATTTGGCTTCTTTGGAGACAAGACATTCTTCTAGATGGACTTTTGGTGTAGCCTAATGCAGCCACTCTTACATTCTTACAATATGGAATTTTTTTTTTAGTTAACATGTTCAACGTAATTTTTCCTTTTATCCTTAGGAAAGCCACGTATTCCTCAGTCACCAGTTCCTGAAAATGTGTTTGCGCTTTTTAAAATTGTTTAAAACATTTTTCACATACGTAAGATTAACAGTTTTCAGTCTTCGCAACTTGCAGTTTGGGATTTATGTTGTCATTTTAGTAAGTGCTAATTATATCTGAAATCTGTTAAGTGTCACCTAGAAGGTGAAGCATTTTTTATTTATACCTTTCCTTACCCTGAAGAGGTACTGAAAGCTTGCTTAATGATACTGCATTTGTTAAGAGAGGTACCTTGAAATCGCTTCATGGTCTGCCATTTGACCTCCTATATAATGAATAGAATTGGCTAAAAATCTAAGCCTTGGAAAGGTACTTCCTAACAGTCAACTATAAATAATTAGCCCTAGCATATAAAAGGTCTAGCTCAGCTGTGTGTGTTAGGTTATAGCCAGAAATGAGGTGGTGGAGGGGAGGGGTTCTGTTTCATGGAAAACTTTGTTACAGGCACATTATATATGCCCTTTTAATAACTGTAATATCTGTTCATCATATAAATCTCAAGTGTATGAAAGGTCAAGACCTAAAGAAACAGTTGTCTGTTAATTGGTGGCTAGAAGTATCCTATTTGATTAAAATTGCCGGAAAAATATCAAATCTCCTTTTGTGGAAAGGCTTTTAAAGTGACGTCAGTTACCTCGCTGTTGCACACACAGTGGTTTTCTGACGCATGCAGAACTGTTGAGGCTGGAAGTCCTGTTAGCCGAGGACCTTTCTTTAAGGGGAGCTTAACCCTTGTAATAAGCCAAGGGTTGAAAGTCTCTGTTCCTGATGGTTTGGTATGTGCTTGGGAAGAACTGTGACTCCTGAAAGCAGAATTTCTCTCCGACATACCAAGCTTTAAATGTGAAGAGCAGAATTGTCAGGTCTGTCTGAAGCTGGAGGGTGAGCTCAGGAAGCACAAGAAGTGGAAAAGTAATTTGTTAAAGCTGGTTGCATTCAAAAATGGAGTAACAGCTTTTCAGTGGGGCATGTTTCAGTTGGGACATGGTCTGCTTCTGAGAATAATCCCTGCTTTAGCTGGAGAGGCAAGACACCTTGCCTTGTCGGTAGAAACACATTCACATTTTCCTTGCAAAATCTGCAGGAAGTGCTCTGCACCTGCCTTTACGTTTGTGTGAGTAATTTCAG